GAAACGAGAAAGGATAATACCAAAAACCCGTGGGAAGAATTGAGAATTTAATTCACCCATAAATAACATGAATTGTCTGCTGAGCAGTTTGAACAATAGAAAAGTGACCCAGACTTAAGGGGCAATGTTGTTTGACACACAGCTGCAGATGCAAGCTATAAAGTGAAAATTTCATTTTGCGTAAACATCGAATTTGAAGTTGATTCTCCTGGTCGAAAGTTGAGTTGAAATAGCAGGATGGGGTGCATAAACCACCCACGCTCACTGAGGAGATTTAGTGAGGGGTAATAATATGAGAGAGAGAGGAAGGAGGGAATTCCCCAGAATTATCGAATCCACTTATTTCGCCAGTTTGGGCGAATGTCGATAAATACGAATGCGCAAAGCGAATTCGGCAGCTGGGTCGCAAAGGAGAGGCAGAAGAGACGGAGACGAGACCAGAGACAAGAGAGGGGCCCACATGATTATCTGCCGACGAAAGTCTTCGACGAAAGCCTTGTGCCAAACTTTACGAAAGCAGGAAACCAGATTTTGCCAAGTCAACAATAATACCACTTCCGATTTAGACGCAGGTTGGGCTGGTAATTAATTGCATGTGAAATCTGATATAAACCAATTATTGGACTGATATAGACAGCATTTAGTTTTTATTCGAGTGTTCTCTGCTTGGACCCGCCCAACACGCAGACACCTGTGACGATTCGATCTTGGCCTCCTTATGATCAAACTTAAATCACAACGTGGGGTAGAGCAGGTCTGAGATCGAAGCGATCTTCATCGATCAGCTGCGGTGTTATAAGTTTTGGAGGATGTTGTACGATTACAATTAAAGATATGACGTTGAGGTCAATTACCATTTTGGCATCTTCAGATGCACATTATTTTTTGCTGATTATGGGATATCATATATATATATATATATATATATATATATATATATATGTGATGTTTATTATTCTATTCATCTATTGTCATTTCTTGTTCGTTGCTTTATATTATTTCGCAACAGTTTCCAGATATTAAACTCACATCAACTAGATGATAGTATCATTTGATTAATTAACTCCTATAACTATTACACAACCGTCACTAAATGTGTGATTTAGGACTCTTTAATTCTAATGTCAGCTAATTTCGACATTTTGTTATCAATGTAGGTTCATGCTGCTTGTTTGATAATATTTGTTTTTGATTTTGGGGATATAGGACTTATATAATAATATAGTCTGTCTGCGTAAGAACCAACAAGAAACGATATCATAGGGACAATATAATATCATAGGGACAAAATAATACAATAATCAATGCATAAGATCTTTTCTCCGCTTTAGATCTGATCACTTATTTTTACAAGTCATTTTTCGTTAGAAAGTGTGATTGATACAAGCTCAAAATAGCTGATTTCAGTCTAGATTAGGTAATTTAAGGGCATATCAAACCTTGCTGGGTTATGTAATGACATTTTAAGTCATATGATACAAAAATTACAAAAAATTAATAGAAAGGAAGATATATGTCCTGCTTATACTAGAATAAAAATAAAGTAGATATTGGTCGGATTTCTAAATGAAACTACAAGTATCCAATAGGAAAATGTCTCTGTTTAGCAGTCTTACACACCTGCCGAATATGCCCCACTGATAGGGAAACGAAAGGGCCTGGGGTCGGGCTAAATATTACATTCTGGTCAGTGTAGAAAAACGTAAAAATCGTCTATTCAAACAAGCAGAATAATGCTAAACATTGCGTAGATGATTTGGGTTTAGCTATATAATAAAATACGTGAAACAGTTCCCCGAAGAGAAGCAAAACAAGATATTTTCTTATTCTGATGCGCAACGTGATAGAAACGTTCTAGAACTTTACACAATAATTAAAGATGTTGTCAAACAGTTGGAAGTAAAGCCGACAATAATTATAACACTCGGAACGATTCTCAAAGATCCTTTAACAAAAGGGGTCGACCGTAGTCAAGATAATCGACTCAATAAACGGCCCTTTCCTTAGCTGCATATTTTGAATTTAGAGCTTTATTTCTCCTAGACCGGCTGCCATCCAATGATATAGAACACCGTTTTTACTATTATTTACTCATAGCTCAGAAGAAAAAATTGGATTCATGTCTTTCCTAAGGGTATTAGCACGTACGTGAATGTAATGAACTCGACTAGAATTCGAATTCGGCTCTCTGATTCTTGGAGAACCTGGAACCGGAATCCATTACTCTACCGTGCCTCTAAAGGGGGGGGAAATGAGACGAAAATAGTTTGAATAATACTACTAATAATAATAATGTAGCAAGATGTTGCACGAGGCTTATGTTTTCTGATCCTAATTAACTGTAGGTGTTTATATGTACCTGTTTTGTATTGATGAATTATCATGCTTACAGTCGCATCATGTTGAAACACCGGTTCTCGCGTGATCACCGAAGTTAAGCAACGTCGAGCCTGGTCAGTACCTTTATGAGAGACAGCTTGGGATTACCAGGTGGCGTAAGCTTGTATACGGGGCCGGCGTAATGAATAATTGTTCGGAATTGTTAATCGGAGAGCCGAATTTCAAATCCAGTTAGGTTCATTATATACCCTAACTTCTTCCGTCCTAGCTATGGGCTGATTATTAAGGCTTCTATCCTTAAACCATTATTATGTAAAAAAAATTCTTACAATCTAAAAAATATTTTCTGGCTTTAAATAACCTACAAAGTGACAATATGCCGCGGAAAACGAATCAATCAATTAATGAAATACTGATTAGCTACACAGTCCATTCTTTTAGATTTATTTACATTTTCTGGAATATAAATGTATAGATACTACAACAGCCACAGAGTGAGGGACCAGTTTATATATTTATTGTAATATAGAATTGATCCCCCACTTTATATCCACAATATAATTTCTTATTTGTTTATTAAATTCTGATTAAGTAGAAATCCACCTCTTCTCCTCTCGCTATGGCTTAAATAGTAAGACTTGCATCATTATTGCATGTATTATTTTAAAAAAAATATTACAAGTTAAAAAATATTTTCTGGCTTTAAATAACCTGCAAAGGTTTGATAAGCCGTGGAAAACGAACCAATCAATCAATCAATAGTTGAATTATGATGGACTACAGTAAATATCGCGTTCAGTACCACAGACATACAGTTACATAACCATAACAAGTTTGAACGGACTGTGTAACATGACATGAGAGTATTTCTCTGTCCCACCTGTAAGAACTTTTCAGCATATCGTGCACTTTTGGTTGTGATGCACAAGTCTGGAATTCCCTTATCGCTCTGGGTATGTCATGATAGGCATGTTGGGTTTCGTATATTTGTACCCAAGTGTCAATTTGTTGGTATGCTCTCATAAAATAATAATAATAATAATAATAATAAAACAAGCTGACGTAGACAAAACCCGTACCCATCAGTGGCTATGTAGTGCAGGGTTGAAAGCGGAAACTGAAGGTTTTATCCTTGCTGCGCAGGACCAATGCTTGCTAACTAGGAATTATCAAGCACATATACTAAAATATTGTGTCAGCCCAAAATGCAGATTCTGTGATAAATATCCAGAAACGATTGATCATCTTGTATCAGGTTGTACGGTGTTGGCACCCACTGAATATAAAACCTGACATGACAGAGTGGGCCAATATCTGCACTGGAAAATCTGCAACTTCTACGGGAAGGAAACTGGAAGAAACTGGTATGAACACCACCCAGACCCGGTTACGGAGATAGGACCTGTTACAATTCTATGGGATTACACAATACACACTGACAGTTCAATCAAGGCCAACCGGACAAATATTGTTATTAAAGACCACAAACAAAAACGGTGCCTCCTTATTGATATTGCAGTCCCTGCTGACTGCAATGTATCTTTGAAGATATTCAAAAAGTTGTCAAAGTACAAGGACCTTGAAATAGAAATCTCGAAAATGTGGCATATGGGAACATCAACAATCCCTGTTGTAGTTGGAGCCCTAGGACTGGTTGGAAAAGATTGCAGTAGACTAATTGAAGGGATTCCTGGAAGTCCATGCCTCAAGGAGATACAAAAAATTGTTCTGACAAGTACAGCCCACACCTTACGAAGGGCTTTATCTATGTAATTTAATTTATTTTATTTTATTTTTATTTTTTATTTTTTGTCAGTGGAAAGTGTCATGACGCCATTTCTAACCTTACGTCCCTGGGCTGGACCCGGAAAGAAATGTGTAAACGCCAGAAATCAAAGAAAAAAAAAAAAAAAATAATAATGAAGTGAAACATGAAGAAAAACTTGCGGATACTGAAGTGGAATATGGAAATAGAGCCATTAATAAAAGATTATCCTCGTGGAATAGCAAGGGTATTTTCAAAAGTTGGATAGAGCCTGTCAATGAAAAAACAAATTAGCAATTTATTTTCGCAAGTCATGAGAGGTGACTTGAAGATAAACTTGGTACCAGCAACCAAGATCATATGCCATGCAGAGTAAGATCATAAAAAAAAAATCATAGCAGCTAATTAATTTTACGAGAAAAAAAATAAAAGTAAGTATCTATTTAATGCGATTGCATCTTTTGCGAATATATTGATTATGATGTGATATTTAATTACAATTGTAGGAAATTCGCTCGTCCACTTTTTTATATATAAAAATCCAAACGTCCATGTTCCAAACAATAATAAAATAAAAGTGAAGAAAACATGGATATGTTTGTTAAATAAATCATTGGTATTTAAAAACATATGTATAAAAATTCAAAGGAGTCAAAATTGTCTTTACTTAAGTTAAAGTCTTTATAGTTGTCCACAGTCAAAGCTGAGATTGAGAAAATACTTTGTTCGTCAACGAAGATACACTGAACGTCCCTTCTGTGGTTGGAGATTGTTCGTTTGAAGTTGTCGACACATGTTTCTTACAGCACGTGATGTGGAGAAGACAAGAGCTACGTAGCCACTTTCTCTCGAAAGTTGAAATCTGTTTATCAGAAATTTTTCCTCAAAGTCGACTCGAGAAAAATAGGGTTTTAGTTTTCTTTGATTGGTCAGAATTAACAGTGATGTTAGTTTCTAACCAAAAGGCACTTTCATTTAAACGCTGTGTTGTATTGTGGAATTTGTAAACATTGTTAGTTATTAAATAGAAAATAAAATTTTGGCGTGTTTTAATATGGCATGTATGTGGGTATGTAATTGTGTTGGAAATAAGGTTTATTTTCTATAAAATTATTCATGTCAACAAAAAGATATTTTATATATGAATAAAGGCGTTTGATATTGCTAGGCAGATAATAGTATCAGCTTTGACATTTCAAGTAGAAAATGAATCCATATTATTTCTTTAAGGCCAACGCAGTTTTGTTATGACGCTATTTTATTTTTCGTTTGTTTACGATACTATTTTTTCTTTTGTTTACGACGTTATTTTATTTTTCGTTTGTATATACCAAGTTTTCCTAACGTACACAGTCCTGCCAATTTGGCGCCAAAACCAGAAAACTGATTTGAAGCTAAACTTTTTGAGTAGCATATGCATCGAAGAATTATAAAAGAGGTCAAAAAGCGAGGTAGAAAAAGAAAACACAGGAAAGTGGTATAAAGGGAGAGTTGATTAGAGACAGAAAATGGAAAAAGAAATGGTAAAAATGGAAAAAGAAATGGTAAAAATGGAAAAGAAAAGGTAAAAATGAAAAAAGAAATGGTAAAAATGAAAAAAAAAGGTAAAAATGAAAAAAGAAATGGTAAAAATGGAAAAGAAAAGGTAAAAATGAAAAAAGAAATGGTAAAAATGGAAAAAGAAAAGGTAAAAATGAAAAAAGAAATGGTAAAAATGAAAAAAGAAATGGTAAAAATGGAAAAAGAAAGCATTTTAGGTAGAGAAAATGAAGAAAGAAGATTCAAGATGAAAAAAGTGAAATTAGAAATGAACTTTATCAAGAAAAAGAGAGTAAATAAGACAAAAATAGAATAAGTAAAAAATAAGTATGTAAACTTGGTAGAGACGCAAAGAAGGAAAAAAAAACATGAAGTACTGAATAAATTTCATGTTAAATAGAAGAAGAACAAAATTAAAATAAGGAAAACACAAATCAGAAGAAGACAAAGAAAAGGAGATAACTGAAAATAGAAAATTAATAAAAAGTACAAAGAGAAGAAAATAAAATTAAAAATTCGCGTGGCTACATAAAAACAGGCATAAATTGTTTTATTGATTGATTTATTTTTTATGCCTTATCAACCTTTTGCAAGTTATTTAAAGTCTGAAAATATTTTAAGCTGGAAGAATTGTTTTGTGATAATAATAATTTACTGATACAAGTCTTACTAATTAACCCATAGCTGGTGGTAGAAGAGGTGAATTCATAACTTTTCCAAGGGTATTTGCGAGTAGTGTCCTAATTTCGAGCCGTTATCTGTTAGAACGCCCGCAAATCTAATCTTGCATCATCTAGTCTTCCCAAGTGGACCCTCATCTAGACCAGGCTCGACGTTGCTTAACTTTGGTGATCGTACGAATACCGGTGTTTCAATGTGGTATGCAAGGAAGTCAAAATGCTGATTTTTAGGCAGCTAGTCCCTGTTGACATGAAGTCAGGTACAACACTATTTTACTTCATTAAATTCTGTCCTCATTAGTCTTTTTGTCCTACCAAGTCATCCTTAGTAAATCTAATAAGGAGAGTTAAAGACGAAGTTTTTGATTAAGAGCTGCCTTTTTCTCGTTTGTGGGTCTGATCAGTATTTGAATTGAATTATATGCACCTGGATATCGAATATCATTTTTTTAGGTATATTTTTTTTCTACTAAAATTATCTCAATGCAAAGCTCCAGAAGCACACACGGTTGATGGCTACTCCCCAAATGGTAAACGTGAATGAGATGTGAGATATGAAAATCCTTTTTATATGGATGACTGGGACAATATAATCTTCCTATAATAACTTTCTCTTACATAGTCACGCCAGGAGATAGACAGTATGCTTTTCTATAGAAAACATATATAAGCTTGTAGACGTTTACCTTAGGCATAGCGTAAGGACTACACTGGCCATCTGGTGTTACAAGTGAGAAAGTATTAGAGAGAACAGGTTTATGTAACCTACACAACATCATAAGTGAGAATCACGTACTGCAAATGTCCGCAGAGAAAGAAACCACATAATCACTGAAATAATGAAAAGCAGGAAAGTGGCACAGAAAGAGGCAAAATGGTATAATGCTATAGACAGAAGATCACATATGTATGGTCCTGGCCTGTGATCAACCAAAAACTTAGCATCTGATCTCTCTTCTGACCATGCTCTAACAGCTCATTGGTGGAAAAAATTCGCTGCTCACATTCAATGCATCGAAAGCCAAACAAGAGACATTCCATAATCCCCGATAGGACCGAGAACTTTTACAAATCGCGATGAAAGGATGTTCCCTGAGGGATGCCCCGAGTGTTGAGAGTCTATTTGGACTTAAACACAACCCAAACCTCAAATGGAACTCTTACATGTGATCCATC